TGCGAGGCGGGCTGCGCGCCGCACCGTGCCGTGCTCCGGATCCGGCCGCCGGGATGGGGAGAGGAGGGGGCGCTGCCGGGATGGAGAGGAGATCCGCGCGCGACGCCGTGCTCCTGATCTGGGAGGCCTCACCGCCACGAGCCCTCTGGAGGGGAGGGGAGGGTGCGCGCGCCAGCCATCGGGTTGGAGAGGGGAGGGGTTGCCGCCAGATGGGGAGGGGAGGGGAGCGCCGCCGAGGGAGACAGAGAGAGAGTGGAGGGAGGAAGAGGGAGAGGCATCAGGGGGGGATTCGCTATAAGGGGCGTGAGGGCGTGAGGGAGAGGGAGGCATCGGGTCCCCGCGGTGAACGGGGACGGGGGCATGCATACCATCCCGTCCCCGTCATACCCGACGTGGATGATTTTTTCCCCATTTAATTTTCAATTGGGAGAAAATTTATACCATCCCCGTCTCCTAATGGGTGCGGGGAATCGGGGAACGAGGCCCCGTTGACATCTTTAGGCGGCAGGTAGTAAAATATTAGGCCTTTTTAAAGTTTCAGAGTGTTACATCGGGTGTCACGTGGAGATATTGCACGAGGTGTCCGGATACTAATAAAAAAATAAATTACAGAATCCATCAGTAATCCGCGAGATGAATTTATTAAGCCTAATTAATCCGTCATTAGCACATGTATTAATATAGCACCACATTGTCAAATCATGGACTAATTAGGTTTAAAATATTCGTCTCGCAAATTAGTCACAAAATATATAATTTGTTATTTTTTAGTTTATATTTATTACTCTATGCATGTGTTAAACATTCAATTAATAGGATAAAGAGTAAGTTTTATGGGAGGAAATAAACAGGGCCTAAAGCGGCGGCTTCCGCTAGATTCCATTCCAGCACCGCTGCCACCGGCGTCATGATTCGGCTGTGATTAGATGAGGCCGGCGTGGGCGAAACTCGAAAGCTCCATGTGTCTGTCTGTGGTGATGATTGTTTTTTTTTTTGGGCTCGCTGGCGACGTCGCTCCGTTCAAGAAAGAACGTAATTATAGAAAACGACGCGTCGGTCAAACTGTTTAACTTTGAACCAGTCTATAGTTAATAATATTAATAGTTATATCTTAAAATAAATTTATTATGAAAATATATTCTATAACTAATCTAATAATATTTATTTTATCTCATGACTATTAGTAATTTTTATATAATCTTAATCAAAGTTAAAACTGTTTGATTTCTGGAAACGTGAGAATCGTTTTTTTTTTTTTTAGCGAGGGAGTATTCCTCCTAGCATAGTATAATAAGGAACAGTGCCGTGGGAGGAGGTTTGTCTGGCGCCAAAGGAGGCGTCCGCGTCAACCACCGGGGTGGCAGCTTTCCGTTTGGCGCTTTGGTACGGTGGCCTCCCCTCCCCGTGATTGATTATTGCATGCCGGGCTGGGGTCCTTCCTGGTGCATCCGTACCGTACGTGCACACGAGCCAACTCCGTTGTCGCATGGGCGTCGTACTAGCACCACTCACTCATCAGTGCAGCACTCCTACGCTGCTCGCCCGCCCGATGTGCACGAATCTTGACGTGGAGTGTCGTGGCATGAGGTTAGCATGCAGTGCAGACGTAAGACCGTCTCCGACAAGGAACTTATATGGGCACCCAAATACAAAATAGGAAGCAAAGACCCAAAATCAACTTCCAATAGAGTACCTATACATGAGAATTATTTTGGGTTGCCTGAGAGGTACAACCTAAATACAGGCATCCTCTCTCTTGGAAACCCATTTATAGAAACGATTCTCTTTTGGGTCTTGTTGTTAGAGAAGATGTCGAATAGGTATTGAATCTTTTGTCTGTAGCGCTACCTAAAGGACAAATAGATCTTGTATTTTAGGTGTTGTTGTTGAGATAGCCTAACCACGCACGAATCCAACTAGGGCCTGGACTTAATTTGCAGGGAGGAGAGGGAAGCATTTTAATAGCCGGGGTCGAGTTTAATTCAAATAAAAACCCAAAACGGAAACACTCATGTTTGGACAGACACCGTACTCGCCCACGCTACCTCCGCCCACATGTCGCCTGCTGCTCATTGGACGGAATAGGCTCTCACCCGTGCCGACCCCGCTCGCGCCCACGCTCGCGGCGAGCCCGACGTGTTAGGCGCTCGCTAGCTCACTCATGGACTCACACCTCCTTTCGCGGTCGCGCTCCATCCGCCTGCCCCTGCCCCTACTGAGGTATGTGCCAACGACGAGCTCCACACCAATGACCTTCGCGGCTTCGAGCTTCGCGTCGACGAGCTTGTCTAAGCAGCAAGCAGATGCTACGCTGAAAGCACATATTGCAATAGTATGTTTCAAATATTTCAGATGTTTCAGAGGTATGTTGCAAGTGTTGTATATAGATGTTACAAAAGTAGAACAGGTTGCTGCACATGTTGTAATGACTATACACGTATGTTTCAAGTGTATGTTGCAAATGTTTCATCCATTCGAGACGAATGTTGTAAGTGTTTTGTCTGGATGTTGCAAAAGTAGATATGTATGTTGCATATACATGCATGTTGCAAGCATATGTTTTAATTGTTTTTAGGTGTTTCATACGTATGCTTGCAAGTGTTTCATCTGGATGTTACATATATTTGCAATGGTTTCCAAATGTTTTTTAGGCGTTTTCGCAAGTGTTTCAGACGATTGTTTCAGGTGTTTTATTTGTCTTCTTTTGTATATTGCAACTGTTATATCTGAATATTTTAAAAGTAGATCAGGTATTATAAATAGGATGCGCGTGGAAAACGGCCGACAGCGCGGAGGACGTCCGGGACGGGGTGGACAACGTCCGGGACAGCATAGAGCCACTGCTGGGATGCTCTCTCACGATCCTGATACGCTACGCGTTCGTTCGCTCTCTATGCAGCGTCCGGACGCTGGCAAGTCCAAAAAAAAAAAAAAAAAAGTGGGCGGACGTGCTCGCCTCGCTGTTGGCTCCAAGCACATTTGACTTCGAATTTCGCTGTGGCTGCCGGCTCTGTTGACGCCTTCAGCGTCTGAATTCTGAAAACACGAACATGATTGACTACAGGTCCAGTTTGTAGTTGGACGCTTAATTTTTCTTCACGGGTGTTTTCAAAAGGATTTGATCATCAGTAGTTCGTTCAGAGCGCGGGCAGACGGGCAGGTACAGCGCGCTGGGGCATCGGCTAGCTCATCAAGTGGGCCGGAACAGAGAGTGCACGTGTACTGCACAGTTGCATCGCCTCGTCACCAGAAAAAGGTCATGTTCGTGTTAGGTGCACTATAATGCAACGCAGCATTCCTCTATTCAAAATAAACTACCGCGAGGAGAGATAGTATCAGGTAATTGACCGACTGGCTGCTGGTTAAAAAATAATTTCAAAATGCTCGTATAAAAAAACAAATTGACATTACTCGCTTTTGATCACTTTTACAGGCCACACGATGACACGAACATAGTAATTTCTTCGGCTAATCAGTAGCAATTACAGTTACAGCCTCCTCGCTGAGATCCACGAAATCAGCGTAGGCTTACCGCTTCGCAGCTGCAGTACTGGCAGGCAGTTTAAAAAGCGAGATGGACAAGGTAATCAACACTTAATAAGAGTATTTCTAAAAAAACGCTTAATAAGAGTAAATAAAATTAGCAGATGCACAATGGATTGCTGGTGCAGTGGTGGACCGTCATCTCTGAACATTTTCGTCGAGCGGCAGCCAATCAGCGCCTGCACAGCAGAGTGTTAAAGTGTGTACGCATGGACGCAACTACACGTGCATGGATGGACATGGCAACATGACATCAACGGTTAATAATGTCTTAATGACCTTAAATTTCTTCCGCTCAATTACGTTACTACGGCTGCTTTTTATTGCCGCTAATGTTGGTACCCGCACGCTAACGATCAGGTTCGTGGTTAGAGCAATAAGGTCTGTTAATGGTCGCTTACGGGAGAGGTATTTGTGTTGTGCGTTTCTGTACATTCGAGGACCGTATAGAGTGAGTACAACGTAACGGAAATGTAGCGTAATCCGGTATATACTCCGTACCTAACACTGTAGCATCCAATTCCGGCTTTACCCTTGCGTACATGAAGGCGACGAGACAGACTAGCGAGTGCCGAGTAGAGACGCCCCCCGCCGGCCCGCGAGGCGAGACCTGGCAGGGGAATAGGGGATCACCGGCTCACCGCAGAATGGCAGCGCAGGGGCAGGCGCAGCCTCGCCGGGGCGTCGTGTACCGGAGGCGCAGATGGCCGTTGGCGCGGCGAGCCCGGGCCGGAACTGCGCCCCCGTGGCGCGACAGCTGCCGCCAATTAATTATTCGCCCACCATTAAAACGCCTCCGCCCCTTCGCGACTCCTCCTCCTCCCCATGTCTCCACCCTCCGTCTTCCCTTGCCTCCTCTCTCGTCTCATCTACTTCCCTCTCCAGTATCTCCGTACCTTCCCCTTCCTCGCCGTCGTGCCACCCGCCCAAACCACACCTGAACTGCCCATTTTCATTTTTCCCTCGCGTAAGGCGTAACCGGTGTGTTGTGGTCGTGGGGGGCGGTTTCGGCCGGGGGAAGCGCGGCGAAACCGGGAGCGTTTCAGAATTCAGACCGGCCGGCCGTTACTGGTGGCACGGGGACGGCGCCGCGAGATCGCATTGTGGCGGACGCGGCCGGGTCACCACGGCATTTCGCTCCGGGAGGGTCCGTGGCTGCTCGAGGCGTTTGCTTGTTTGTTTCTCTTCTCTCTTGCGGCGGGCGGCGGGCGGGGCTCGAGGTTGGTGGCCGGCCAAGCACAGCGCCTCCTTTTCGCGGTCGCCTTTTCGGAGCGGCCGCTGCTGCTGGTGACTGGTGGGGAAGGGATGCGCCTTGCCTTTCCGCCGCCTCGGCGTGGCGTGATTCCGAAGCGTTGCCGGGATTGTACTGGTTTCTGCTGGTAGATATAGAAAAAACACCGCATCCTTTTGGAGGCCCGTCCCAGGCTCCCAGCTGACACGAAGGTTCCTCCTGGACAATGCCGAGCATCCGAGCTCCGGCGTCCAAGCAGACGGCCACGCTACAGGTACGCCATTCCCATTCTCCTGTGGGACGGTCCTAGTCACTGGGAAACTGCATTCTCGGTGCTTAATTGCTAGCATTGCTTATCGTGTGCGCAATTCTAATCGTGATGATGCATTCCAATTCCAGGTGGCTGTCAAGTGCAGGCCATTGACCGACACCGAGCAGCGGCGCTCGCGGCATATCATACAGGTCATTGATGACAAGGTACCCCGCGCCTCTGGTGTGTTGATGCGCTTGCTCTTTGCAATTGGTGGTGGGAATGTGATGGTTTACACGCGTTTCTCTCCCTAGACTGTGGTTGTGCTGGACCCTGATCTGTCAAAGGACTACCTGGACCTCATCCAGAACCGGACCAAGGAAAGGAGATATACCTTCGATCATGTGTACGCGCCTGGATGCTCCAATTCGGTATGTGATAGTGAAGTTTGCTCTGCTCTCATCAGTAATTGCTTGGCCTGCTTTTGACATTGGGCTCAGTCGCTCAGATGCTCAACATAGCAACTTTTCGAAATCTTCATCTCAGCTCGGATTCTTCCCTAGACCCTAACTTCTCATTTCTTGCTTCCCTAGAAATGATGCTCTGAAAGACCAAACCACCAACTAATTTTATTATGAATTGCTTCAATTAGGACTGTCTCGTGCTTTGGACAGTTGTTAAAACAATGCTACGGAGTACTGACATATACGAACTACTGGTAGTGGTAGCTGGTACTAGCCTACTAGGGGTATCTCGTGCATGTACAGTTGGAGCAATACTACTGGCATCTAAAGGGCCAATGAGCAGCTTTTGTTCAGTCTGTACTGTATCCAACCCGTGATGTAGACTTACTGTTAGGTCTCTACCTAATGCAGATGTCTTCAAAGCAGTAGTTTTGTTGTACTATTGAATTTTGAATTATTGATCACTATGATCCTTGAACTTCAATTCAGATGTTTCGTCCAGTGAATGTATACCAGGACTGGAAGCATGTGTTAAACTGACCCAACAAATCAGTTGCTTGAACTTTTGTTAATCTTTCAGGTTTACGAATTAATTATATTACTTTTATTTGTGAGGACAGAATAGTACAAGGAATATAAATAAATCAATTGTTCTTATAGTATAAGATGTAGGTTAATCCTACTCTGGGTGATTACACACTTGTGCTTGCCAGCTAATTACTGGTAACAAGTCACATGTTCTTGTACTTTCCACACCATCACATTTTCATTATTGTGATATTCATGTTCAGGACGTGTATAAGAATATATCCTCTACAATTGCTGGTGTAGTCCAAGGCCTTAATGCAACAGTCTTTGCTTATGGTTCTACTGGAAGGTATCCGTTAACTGTATTGTGTTGCTTGCTGTCTGCTTAACATTGTGTGATATGCTGCTTCGCAGTTCAGAATGTTTTTTATGTTAATATTATTAATAACCATGGTGCACATTTCAAATTGCAAGCCTTAATAAAAAGTATAGAGTTTTGTATGGAATTTCATTCTGATATGCTCATTGAAGTTTTGCACATTATACTTGCCTTTTGTGTTTGTAATACTAATACTTTGTAGTAATGTGATGCATAGCTTGCACTGTATTTATTGAAATTTCATCATATTCAATCAAAATAATCATGCTGACCACATATCTGTCTTAGAATACATTCACATTACATTGGTTATGTTTATTTAAATCTATAACCTAATCCTGTTCAATGTTAACTAAATTAGCTTGTTGTTACTGATGTTTTTTTTCCAGTTATTATATATTAGGTTTCTATCCTCCTTTTCTTCCTCATAACATTGTTTAAACTGTGGCAGTGCTACTCTTTGAAACTTTCATCACGGAAAAACAGCTAAACCATATTTCCACATTCATCAATGGGATGTTTAGTAAATGTCAGATAGTGTATTTCCTGATCTTCTGTAAATGTCAGATAGTGTATTTCCTGATCTGTTGTACTCCCTCCGTCCAGGAATGATAAGCGTATTTTAACCATGGAAAAGTCATAGAAAGTAGATTTTGAACCTTAATTTCTCTTACAATATGTTGCTAGTTTCTAAAAATTCAATATCATCTCAAAGACCCCGCACAGAGCGAGGGAAGGTCCCAGGTTGGAGTCGCGGTCTCCTTGCATTGCACAGGCGAGGGTAAGGCTTGCCACTGACACCCTTCCCCAGACCCCGCACAGAGCGGGAGCTCTCTGCACTGGGTACGCCCTTTTTTTATCTCAAAGACACTTTGAACACAAATCAATTAATTCAAGTTTTATGCCCTAAACTTGTACATAATTTGACCAATCTTTGGTCAAAATTATAAAATTTGACTTTGTTTTGAACAAAATACGCTTATCATTCATGGACGCAGGGAATACCTCTTTGGTACTAGCTTCGAAGTTAAATGTCCATGATAATGTTTCGTTTGATATATATTTATTTTTGTGGTTGTACAGTGGCAAAACTTACACTATGGTTGGAACCCATAGCGATCCTGGTCTGATGGTTCTTAGCTTCCGGACAATTTTTGAGCTGATAAAAAAGGATGACAGTAAGGATACATTTGAAGTTTCATGTTCATATCTAGAAGTGTACAATGAGGTATTACCTCTGTTCCTTTTGCTGGGTGTATTAGGATTTGAAAGAGCTAAACATCATAAATTGTGACAATTATTATTGAATTATATGCATGTTTAGTGTATACTGTTACAATTGATTTTTATTTCGTAATGCTTACATGACATTGATTTTGAAGCAATTGGTTATACATTGTAAGAGAAATCAACAGTCAGCGTACATTTCTAAAGACATTTCCAAATCCTAATACGCCTTAAAGGAAAGAAACAGATGGAGTAGGTGCCTTGGCACTAGGCGGTGTTGCACTGCTCGACTAGCACCTAGGCATTTTGTCTAGGCTATTTCCCTCTCTAGAGATGTTTTTGACTTGATGTATGCATAAAACTGGGACAAAATAGAAATGAAGAAAGGTAAACTACAATCATATTACTTATGGATGCATGATAATACCATTTTTTCTATTCTAGTATGCTAAATTACCTTTATTTAGATTAGCGTTACTCTAACAGGCCATAAAATGCACAAGCGGCTAGCAACGGCTAGACATGCCTAAGCACTAGGCAGACAGTCAGCCATTTATAACTGTACATTGTATACCTTTCTGAAATAGTACCATTGGTATTTTCTTGAATTCTAGGTTATCTATGATTTGCTTGAGAGATCCTCTGGACACCTGGAGCTTCGAGAAGATCCTGAGCATGGCATAATAGTTGCTGGGTTGAGAAGCATTAAGGTATTTTAATACTTTTGCTTTCTGTTATTTTTTCATGTTAATGAGAATTAAATACCATCTGCTAGTGGAAGTTGTCTCTCTTTCTACTTTTTAACTTTTTGTATCTACTTTATTTTAACACCCAACTTTATCGGCATCTTTTCTATGATTGGAACATTGTCACTGCATTTAAGTGGCTGACAGAGAGGACCTGAACCCTTGATACATATATTGTACTTGTAACATGTGATATATAATTTTCCATTCTTAAGAAATTAATGTCTTGCCAAGACAGCCTCATATTTTTTTTCTTTAAAAGAACTATTTGATCGTGCCTTTCATTTATGCGAAGGGATGTGTTTTCCCAAATTCTGGCATTGTTCAGTTAGATATTATACACCATGCTGTACTGTAAAAATGAATACACCACTGTCTCATTTTTCTTCAATATGAAAGCATGATTGAACTTCAATCTTGTTTTGTTGTTAGGTTCACTCTGCAGATAGGATTCTTGAGCTGTTGAACATAGGCAACAGTAGGCATAAGACAGAGAGTACAGAAGCAAATGCTACTTCTTCACGGTAATTTAATAATTTTCAAATCTTCTTTCTTTTCTAAATGTTCATGCCTTCATTACTTATGTATTTTGAAGGATTTATTGATATCTTGCATGCCAGGACTTCTTCCTGCTAGGCTGTTCCCACAATAGTATCAGGGATAGAAATTCCCACAATAATCTGTAAAAATAGAAAATCCTAGAAATTGTAACATGGGAGAAAAGAAGGATGTACACACTATGATGTTAGTGCCTCCAGATCAGAACAAATTATACAAATATTGATGGATATAGTTCTAAAACAAGTATGGTAATTTTTAAATCATAGATATTGGATAATACCACATCTATTGTCATATCTAGCAATGTGATTCTAATCATTTATTTTTCTTTTCATTTGTCAAGGTCACATGCTGTACTTGAGATTACCGTAAGAAAGTTTAAAGCAGAAAGGCCAATATGGTAACCAAGTTCTTCGTGGAAAGCTTGCCTTGGTTGATCTTGCGGGCAGGTAATAGAAACTCTGTTTCATTGCTAGTCTAATTCCTTCTTGTGGAAAAAGCAAGTTGTAATGTTACATTCTGTGAGCAGTGAAAGGGCCTCGGAAACAAACAACTTTGGGCAAAAGCTTAGAGATGGAGCCAACATCAATCGGTCACTCCTAGCATTAGCAAACTGCATCAATGCCCTAGGCAAGCAAAACAAGAAAGGTCTTGCCTATGTTCCCTATCGCAACAGGTATGTTTCAAGCATTGATTTTACTCAAATGGGACTTTTTTTTTAATTTATGTGGTAGCTAATAGCAGCTTTTGCAGTAAATTAACTCGAATTCTAAAGGATGGGCTGTCTGGTAATTCTCGAACTGTTATGGTTGCTACAATATCACCAGCTGATGATCAGTATCATCACACAACGAACACACACTCAAGTCACGCAGACCGTGCTAAAGAGATAAAAACACATGTCCATGTAAGTGTTCGTTTCTTTTGGTTGAATCATAGGTTTATAAGATTCAAATTAAGAGGTCAAACAGCAGATTTTATGCCTATTGCTTAATCATAAGCATTTCCAATCCAATAGAACTTATGAATGTCATCTATTTTGTTCTTTGTAGAAAAATATTGGAACACTTGACACTCATGTTGAAGACTATCAGAGGATGATCGACAATCTTCAGGTTTGCCATAATGAGAAACAAATGATCTAACTCAAATTCATCATAGTTAAATGTGTCACGTGATTTTGCAGGTTGAGGTTTCTCAGTTGAAAAAGGAATTAGCTGAGAAGGAGCATCAATTAAGTATAAAGCCTATTGAAAAAGCTGCAGATAGTGAGCTATCTTGGTTAAATGTCTTGAGCCAGGAAACTGGTGAGAATGTTCAAGAACGCATAAATCTTCAGAAGGCTCTGTTTGAACTCGAAGAAACCAATAAGCGCAACCGAATGGAACTCCAGCATCTTGACGATTCTATTGCAAGGCATCAGGTTGGTGATCAGTTTCAAACAAGTTCCTATTCTGCAGATCTTAGTACACCAAAACACACCTCTAATGCGCTATTCCCAACAACCTCTTTGGAGACCTTTTCCTTCCCCTTTCTTTCTCTGGTAAAACTGTGTGCGGTTTATAGGACATCCTAAGCTGTTGATATCTTTAGCCCTTCCAAACAGACTGCCAAGGCAGTGGTTTGAAATCTACAGTATCATATAATGGAGTAACAGTAGATACCTTCTGTATATCATTGTTGACAACAGTCTTGCAACAGAACACTGAGAATTTTGTGTTCAGGTGAAAGAAATGGACTCTACAGTCCTCCAAGCTTTAACATCAAGGAGACAAGTTATTCTTGACAACATCCGTGATAATGATGAAACTGGTTCTGGATATAGAAAGGTGTTAATCTTATTCTGTTTCCTTTTGTTTAGTTGCCTGAATGCCAAACTTATATGGAGATTTTCCCCCGTAGGACATTGAAATGAATGAGAGTCGCAGGCGACAACTCCAGGATATGATTGAAGAAGCCATCAGTAACAATGGCAATAAAACCTACCTGCACATTCTCAGCCAGTACAGACTACTTGTAAGTAACCCACGGCTTTTGTCTTTCCCGATTTAAGCAATAAGAATGCGACATCTCACATGTTATCTATGTGTAATGTACTCTTTAGGAAATGACTAATGCTGAGCTTCAAATTGAGATGGCTATGCGGGATCAAGTTATACATAATCAGAGGGAAGCTCTAAGGAGCCTGTGGAACATTCTCTATGGAACGGGGCTAAACCAGAAGCAGATTCTTAAATTGGCTGCAAAGCAAGGATTAACTGTAGAAGGCTGTCCTTTGCCTAGCTCAAGCCCAGATGTTACCACGCCACCTTCCTTTCCACCTCATAGAAGGTTTCCATCGTTTATGTCATTTCCTAGTCCGCAGTCAGAGCCTTATTCTCCGTCTGCTTGCTTTTTCCAACATGGTTTCAGCACTATGTCTTTGCTGAAAAATCAGCGTGAGACGCCCACCATATGTAGGCAGGAGCACCTCAGTTCTTACTACATGATGTCTGGCTGCTCGCCTTACTCTGGTGATGGAAAACAGTGGTCACGTGGAAGACCTATGACATTCTTTTCTACTCCAGAAAAACCTAAGGAGGTGAGCAGTGTATACCGGGGAACAGAGAATGCACAGTCCCAACACAAGAAGGAACATTCTGGCAGTCATGATTTCAGTCTGCATAGAAAGGTAAACTGTTTCCTATACACAAGCTGCTAAAAAAAGTGTCATGATGCATATCACACCATGTAAACATAGTCCATCTATCAAGAATCCAAAGGGAAAAAGAAGACAAAAAAAAAGAGGCATCGCCTTACTATTATTTGCCTAGTGTTTTTTTTCAGATTGCTTATTTTCTTCACTTTCTGCATTGTATCTAAATTCTAAGCCGCCTCCACTGTGCAGTGATCCTCAGAGCACACATACTGATTAATGTTGCTCCCAGCTTTCTAGAATCGAATTTAAATTTGGAGAATCAAATATTGGACTTACCATAATTGTTAGCAGGTATTTGAGTGGCCAACCAGTAAATTAGGGAAATCAAACACATAAAGAAGTTTTCTTTCCAAGCCTGGTAACACCACACTTAAGTAAGTCGATTCATATTAGCCAACAAGCAAATCTATTAACTCTCTGGTAAAAGTGCTCATCACTACTACTATATATAATATAGTAAATTACAGACAACACTCAATGCTAATGAGTGGATCAAGTCATTTACTAGTCAATGAACTGACTAAACCCTGTCTGTTCTGGGAATTGACCCAGTGACCCACTTAACTATAAAAGGGAGGTGATGTGATGTTCTTTTTATAAACAGGATTTTATAAACAGGATGGAGCATGGCTTCCTTTCTTCTTAGATACATTTCATTCCTTCGATCCCTCCATAGCACTAATGACATCAATGAAAAACGATTACAAAGATTTACCATATAAATCACGTTTATGACATTATGCTTTACGACTACTGATTTGTAGATACCAGAATATTCACAGATGTTCCTTGACTTTGACTGTCAAAACTGCAAATCGTTCTATGCAGCCTACTGATGAATTAACCTGGTAAATTACTATTTTATCATGTAGAATGACCACAGAACATGATGCTTGCGAACGTAGCTCATAATAATTAGATTTGCCATCGAAATGTGATGATTGTTTGACCCTCAAGTTTGCATGAGCTGACCAAGATTTTTCTTGCTGTGCAGGATCCGTGGTCCATGGAAAGGAAATGACGGGCCTCGAGATCCTTCTGGTACACAAACATCTGTGATGGCTACAATGTGGCCTGTCTGATGTTCCTAACCTTGGTCGCTGTGTGCACCATCTTCTGTCTACCACCGACGTTCCCAAGGTTCCTGAGATCTGAAGAGATGTTAGTAGATTTCGCCGGAGCTGTTGCCTTGCCCACGGCCATTTTGATTGATCCTGCTGGCATTGCTCACTCCACCCTGTACAGTAGTAGATGCTAGTCCTCTCAAGATACCCTCCTTTTCCTAACTTTGTAAAGTGGTTGCTGGGGGGTGAATCTGATTTTTGGACCAAGAACTCTGTAAATTTGCCGCGGTTCTCGTCCTTCTTCAGTAAATCCAATGAGAAAAGCTTCCAAGATTGGTCTTCAGGTTCAGCATACTAATCCTCTGCATGCTGGTATGACAAGCTGCCTGAGGCCAAATCTGCCGGGTGACGATCAGGATAGAGTTGGGTGAATGGGTGATTGATGAACAGGCTACAGTAGCATGTGGTAGGAATAGGATCTCATCTCCTCTCCAGATCATTGAATAAGCCCTGCTGAGGCTCACCTGCCCTGGAGACCACATTCAAGCAGGAGCAGCGCTGGGCATGGTCCTCTCTCATTCATGTTTCTGCTTCTGCACAACAGTTGTGCTGAATGCTATACGCTGGAGCGGCGGCAGGCAGCCGAGGCCGCACGGCGCGCACATCGCAGTCGCATTACACATTACACATTCCACATGCCAGGTTGTCGCCGGCGCAACCAAAGGGTTGGCTCCGTCTGACATTCCGTTCCGGTTCCGGGGCCTTGATCGTCATGTTCGGCTGATGGTTTCTGGGCTGATAAGCCGATTGATGCTGTTTTGTTGTGAGAGAAAAATATTGTACCATGGCTAATAAGCAGTTCTCCTTCATCCTTGGTAAGATGTGACACATCCTTCATCATTGGTAAGATGGTGCAGTTGCCCAGCTAGTTTATAGTATACAATAGCACCGTGGTAAAATGATAGTGAGATACTAGGGATTAGGATTACCGTAAAACACGAGCGAGTGGAGTAGTGTACTGGAGTGGCCATGCATGGCTGCCTGTACATGTCAGCTGGCACGTACTATTAGTAGAGTGTAGGTTGTGGGCTCTGGCAGGCAACTAGCCTGGCCCATTGCGTCTGGCAGGCGTGCGTGCTGCGTCGGAAGCGAGAGCAGCGAGACCACTGGTGGCCTGGTCCTGGTGGGTGAGGGCGTCAGGTTGAGGCCCGTGGTGAAAGGCTCAGGAACAGAAGGCGGCGTGCAAGCCGTGACCTACAGACCTCAGACCTGCAACTGCATACTGGGGCAGCAGAGGCCAATGCTTTCCGGCCCTACAGGACTGCACTGACAGCTCGTGGGGTACGGTAACTCGCAGCGTTTTTATCTCTTGCTAATGCTAATGGTACTTCAACTGTCATTGGAGGAGGTCCTCATGGTTTCACGTGATGAGGGAGTGCATGTATACGATTTTTCATAGTGGACTTGTTCGTGCCTGATTACACATGGTCCAAATTAAAGCCCAAAACAACCTGAAACCAAGTGGTAGTGGAGCTTTCCAGCATGCAAAAATACATGGCTAGCCAGAAGCCAGGCCAGACGGGCAATCAAGGCTGCTGCATGCTCTACCCTCTGTGCAGCTGTGTTGCATGCTGTGGCTGTATGTGCGTGTCTTTGTCCAAAAGACCCGTTTGAGACTTTGAAAGCAGTACTAGCGATTAGCAAGCGTGTGATGGATGAACGAAGAAGAAGAAGCCAAAGCAGCGATTCGATCGAGAGGCGCGGACGAAGACGAAGGTTTCATTTCATGTAAGGGCGAGCCCCTGTTTGATTTGGACGCATGCCTTCGTCCTCGTGTGATCGTGTCAACCTTCAACTCATATATGTAGGATCGATCCAGGTTCAAGGCTTTCTCGATGCAGGATTTTTACATGGATGAAACCCCAGTAATTTAGGTAGGTAGGTTTCAACCGGGGAAAAGGTTTTCTTTGTTCCAAACAGGGTCATTGAACATCGATCGTTGAACTCGTGAAGGTTTCTTTGCTTTCCAGTACTGAAATAACATATAGTTTTACGTGAATCTCAGCTCAATCTTCCCAAGCGATTACATACAGAGAAAGTAGAACAAATTACAAAGGAGGGCAAACTAATTAGGTTCATGGAAGACGTACAAATATTTTACTACTGGTTCATGGAAGAAGTACAAATATTTTACGTAGACGAGACAAATCTTAGGTCCAAAACATGTATGGCCGCCGTCCTCATCTCGTGTTTCTGGTGTACTACCCGTAAACGTGAGAGGGGACAGAATGCACCCCACTCGGGGACGTGAAATGCAAGCGGCGCCGGCCCTAACGCCGAACGAAGCCAAGACTCTTTTTAAGCCCGTTTGGTAGGGCTTCTCTATCAGTTTTAGGAGTCGTTTAGAGCTGTTTTCTGTCAAACAGGGTAAAGTGAAATAGCTTCATTGGTGAAGCCTCTAAAAACATGCTCTCATAATGATTTAGGGTGGGATGGAGCAAAAAAAAAGTGGCTTCTCCTGGCTCCTCCTCTAGCCCCCTAAAAACATGCTCTCACAAGGAAGCCATTTTGCCAAACGGTTTACCAAAACCGCTTCAGCTCTACCGGTGAAACTGTTAATGAAGCTAAAACAAAAAACAAATAGCTTCACTGGTGAAGTGAAGTGCTGCCACGACCTTATTTCATTCATGCCTATGCATGCATAGCAGCTAGCGCTACTACTAGATGTTTACGCTACGAGCACACACTACGCTATCACCCCCTTGTTTACGTCCCTCTAGGACCAGCTAGGCTCTCTGTTAGTCAGCGCCCTAACCTGGGCCGTGCAACTCATTATTTCGTTGAAAAACGTCGGCCAAGCCCTCAACACTGAGCTACTTCTCCTAGTAGGGGTACTACTACTAGTCAATCACCACAAATTTTACTCGTGTCACAGCCACAAATTTCGCTTGCTAGAACAATATAGGACAAATCCGGCTCGAAGCTGATTTGTTGTGAGAAAAAAATACTATAAATTTTAACTGATAAGTCGGCTGATAAAGACCGTGCTGCCGAAAGAAACTGCGTGCATCGATCATTTTGCTGCCCTGCTCTGAAGGCCGATCGAAGCGCCCCCGCCCGCGGACCGCCTCCTGTCATGAGTCGCGCGCTGAGCACGAGCAGACCGCCAAAATTTCGATGGACGAGACGCGGGTGTGACCACCACCAATCTAGGACGCTTTGGAACCACCCGTTTTTTTCCACGGTCGCCTAGCACAGGAGCAGCGAGAATCTCTCCTCTCCTTTGTCCGCACCCGTCTCAAGGCAGGAGGAACCAAAGGAAACTCCTCACATGGGGCGTGGGGGCAAAGGGCCCTTTCCACCGGTCCGCCAGGCCTCAGAATTGCATCACGATTCGCACCCACGCTCCGATCACCGCCTCTGCCGAACCCGTCCGTGCAAGGAGATTTTGCGGCAAGCTTTTGTGCCTTTTGTTGTGTTTAGGCCCGGTTTCTTTATGCCCCATCAAGGGCTTTCACTAGCTAGCTCACCGTCACCAGACACCGGCGCCTGCAGCCGCATGTGCAGTGTGCCTATACAGTAATAGGGTTTCATGCTCATGCGCTCCTGCCCTGTCTAGCCTAGCCTGTAGTAGCGTGTAGTGTCTACACTACGGAAACCGACGATTTGCCGAGTGCCGGAGTCTTTGTAGAGTGTATTTTATCGGACACTCGACAAAGACCGTGTTTGCCGAGTGCCAAATAAAATACACTCGGCAAACAAAAACACACGGCAAAATACGTCTTTCCCGAGTGTTTTTTTTCTGACACTCGGCAAAGATGTATTTTGCCGAGTGCCTTTGTTTTGGCACTCGGCAAACAGGCTTTTTGCCGTGTGCATTTTTTTTTGGCCCTCGGCAAATCAATTTTTCGAAGCAATTTTTGAGGCCCTAAATGAATTCAAATGAAAAACTTTTCAACTACAAAGTTGTATAACTTCTCAAGATCTACAAAGTTTATTTTGGTCATTTCTTCATTTGACAAAGCGACAATAACGTTGTTCATAAAATCTACATCTCTCATATTAGTTTCATGAAAGTAGAAGACGGATATATAAGATTTGTGAACAATGTTACTACCACTATGTCGGATGAACAAATGACCAAAATAAACTTTGTAGATCTTGATAAGTTATGAAATTTTGTAGTTGGCAACATTTTGATTTGAAATCATCTTGTCATGCAAAAACGACGTTTGAATTTGAAAATTTTAAAATTTGAATTTTTCAAACGACCTCGGATGGAAAAACTTCCTAAATGAAAATTGTAGATCTCCAAAAGTTATGAAACTATGTAGTTGACAACTTTTTGATTTGAAATCATCTTATCATGCAAAACTACGTTTGAATCTCTCAAATTTAAAATTCAAAATTTTCAAACGACCTCGGATAGAAAAACTTACTAAATGAAAATTGTAGATCTCAAAAAGTTATGAAACTTTATAGTTGACCACTTTTTGATTTGAATTCATTTAGTGCCTCAAACAAGCAATTTACTCTAAGTTTGCCGAGTGCCTTTTTTCTGGCACTCGGCAAAGCCGTATTTTGCCGAGTGCCTATGTTTTGGCACTCGGCAAAGAGGCATTTTGCCGTGTGCATTTTTTGCCCTCGGCAAATCAGTTTTTCGAATCAATTTTTGAGGCCCTAAATGAATTCAAATGAAAAACTTTTCAACTACAAAGTTGTATAACTTCTTAAGATCTACAAAGTTTATTTTGGTCATTTCTTTATTTGACAAAGCGACAATAACGTTGTTCATAAAATATATATGTCTCATATTAGTTTCATGAAAGTAGAAGAGAAATATATATAATTTGTGAAAAATATTACTATCACTATGTCGGATGAATAAATGACCAAAATAAACTTTGTAGATCTTGAGAAGTTATGAAATTTTGTAGTTGGCAACATTTTGATTTGAAATCATTTTGTCATGCAAAAACGACGTTTGAATTTGAAAATTTTAAAATTTGAATTTTTCA